AGTAAAGCCATAATGTGCACAGTCCTTAAAGTAATGCAAGCTCTGGTCAAATGTGACGATATGGTTGGTGAAGCCTTGGTGCCCTATTATAGGCAGCTCCTTCCTGTCCTTAATTTATATAAGGAGAGAAACGGTGAGACAAATAAATAAAAACAAACAGGGAGTCCAAACTAAGAATCTCTCTTTTGTAGTTACCAGTCTATTAAGTTTAAAATAGAATAATTCTTTCCTACAAAGATTCTCATAGTTTGAACACCCTATATACAAAGTGTACCTACTTAGAATAATAAATTAATTTACTTTAAATTTTCAGTTAATTGCGGCGATGCAATTGATTATAGTCAAATGAGAGGCGAAAACTTATGCGATTTGGTAAATGAGACATTAGAAATCTTAGAAAAATATGGTGGAGAAGATGCATTCATAAATATTAAATATTTAATTCCAACTTATGAATCCTGTATGATGAACTGAATTTAAAATGATAAAAAAATGTTAAATATATACAAAGCATTTATGCAACAACCTCAATAAATACTATATATAAATGTTACATTTCAAGCTTTGGGAAAAGAAATCACACCAAATCTAATATAAGTAAACAGCAAATACCGTAGCAACACAAAACAGGGAATCCTGTAAGAAATCAAAAATTTGCTATCAGAATTTGTACCCTTCCAATTAGCCAATTTTTGACAAATAAAATTAAAACTTACATTTATATACGTTTCACTGATATGCGTGTCAGTCTCTGAGTCCCAAAGGCAAATAAAACCACTCTTAACACCTTGTCCCCTTCTTTCTCCCATGTTTACATGAACTATGTGTTTGTATCTTTTCAATTTCAGCTCTATAATATGTAAAATAAAAATATTAGGAAATTCTAATATATGCAGATAATATTAAGGCAATGCACCTTTTACTGCATGATTAATGCGGTTAGCAATACTAGTGGTTAGGTTTTTGATAGTTTCACTGTCGTATTTCTTTGCAGCTAGTGATTCTGCTAAAATGTTTCGAACAATTTCTTTTACCATCAATTCTTGGAATCTTTAAAATAACAGAAAAACAATATACAATTCTATCCATACGAAAAAATTATAACTTACTTGTCTTCCGCAGGAGGTTTCATTTGATAGGAACTTGAAATTGGAGTTACATTTTCACGTTCCAAGAAACTACTTTTCATGCTTTCATCCATTTTGAAGACACCAATGAATTTTTACTACATACTTACAATAAAAAAAGCCTATTATTTACTATTCAAATTAAAATTCAGTTTAATAAAGTTTTAAGGTTAAGTAACTTTTCTTGTTTTGAAGCAAAGAAGACATTTAGCCACTTTTAATAGTAAGATTTATATAGTGTCTAAACAACCCACAGAAGGTATTTTTAAACATTTTATTTCAACGGATTTATTAAAATTGAGTTGAATTTCATTTTTACAATGCCGGAAAACGCTTTTTAATTCAAAATAACATTTAAAGTAAAACAAATGCTAAAAAAAATAATTAAATATGATATGAAACTATATTTAACGCAACAATTCATCATAACATAAAATTTTTATCCAAATTTTTTTTGCAGTTGAAAAATTATTAATAAATTGAATTGCCCTAGTTCTAGATTTCCTTATAATACTTGCTCATCTTATTTCTAAATGAGGCAGAGTCACAACCCCTTCTAAAACCCCTACTGTTTCTGAATCTGTTGGGGCAAATATTACAGAAATTGCATATAAAAAGTAGGACTTATTAAGTTTTGAAAATTATTTTTAACTAAATTATTGATTATTCTTTGTATTTAAAATGTTATGATATAAACTTGTTAAATCAATATTCAAGTCACTTGATAAGATGAAATAATTTTTTTTTCAAAGTGTCCTAAGAAACATCCAAAAGTTTTGTTTATTCTGAAATGTCATAACTGTGGCATTTTCTGAAATTTACCATTTTCTATGCATTTTTTGATTAAAAATGGTTAGCGGTAAAGAATTCCGTTCAACGATTAGACAACCGTTACCGGGGGCCCCTAAGAGTAAAGAATGTCGAATAGTGCCTGCTTTCACAATTCAGGCACTGCAAAAAAACACATGTATCCTTCCTCCTCCCAAATGCAACGTTTTGAAACCGAGACCACCGAAATCGACGCAGTTTAGGGTGCACTATAAACGAGGGGAACTACCCATTGCATTGGACGCAAACAGAAGGAGAATTAAACTAAATGAGAATTTAGTAAACAATAGCAAATAATTTTTCAGAATGACGTAGAACACGTGTTAACTGTTTTGACAGTTTGACGTACAAATAAATGGCAAAGTGTTAATTAAAAAAAACCGTATTAATTCTGTAGTAGTAACACAAATTTTAATAGGTTTTCGGTAACACAATGGTTTTAGCGGATTTGGGTCGTAAAATTACGACCGCTTTACATTCCCTAAGTAAAGCAACAATAATAAACGAAGAGGTAAAATTAACCACGAAAACAGCTGGTATTTTAAATTTCACATTAAGAAAATCTATTACTTAGGTATTAAATGGCATGCTTAAAGAAATATGTGCTGCCCTATTGGAGGCCGATGTAAATATTCGTCTAGTTAAAAAATTAAGGGAAAATGTGAGGTCAGTAATCGACTTTGAAGAAATGGCTGGTGGTCTTAACAAGAGGCGCATGATACAAAGTGCAGTGTTTAAAGAGTTAGTTAAAGTAAGTACATTAATTTGTCATAATGTTATTATTAATAATTATATTTATTAGCTGGTTGATCCAGGTGTTAAGCCATACACCCCAATCAAAGGCAAGCCAAATGTTATCATGTTTGTTGGTTTGCAAGGTTCTGGTAAGACAACCACATGTACTAAACTTGCATATCACTATCAAAAGAAAAACTGGAAATCGTGTTTAGTATGTGCTGACACTTTTCGTGCTGGTGCTTATGATCAAGTTAAACAAAACTGTACAAAAGCTAGGATACCATTTTACGGAAGGTATTATTCCCATCTTAGCTTTTAATAATGCTATTTTTAATTAATTCTTTGTTAACAGCTACACAGAAGTAGATCCAGTAGTAATTGCTCAGGATGGTGTGGATATGTTTAAAAAAGAAGGTTTTGAAATAATTATTGTAGATACTAGTGGTAGACACAAGCAGGAAGAATCCTTATTTGAAGAAATGTTGGCTGTAGCAAATGCAGTGGTATGTAAAACATTGTTTAATTAAGTTAAGTTAATTACAACAAATATAATTTTTTTGCAGAAACCTGATAATATTATTTTTGTTATGGATGCTACAATTGGACAGGCTTGTGAAGCTCAGGCAAAAGCATTTAAAGAAAAGGTTGATGTAGGCTCCGTGATTATAACGAAATTAGATGGCCACGCTAAAGGTGGAGGAGCCCTAAGTGCGTAAGTGTTATTTTAATTTTACCTTACTGATTATAGCATACTATTTATTATTTATATATGTAAATGTTCAGGGTTGCAGCGACGCAAAGTCCTATAATTTTTATTGGTACTGGAGAGCACATAGATGACTTAGAACCATTTAAAACAAAACCATTTATTAGCAAATTACTTGGAATGGGAGATATTGAAGGGTTGATAGACAAAGTCAATGAATTAAAATTAGAGGACAATGAAGAACTTTTAGAAAAGATCAAACATGGACAGTTTACGCTAAGGGACATGTATGAACAGTTCCAAAATATCATGAAAATGGGTCCTTTTTCACAAATAATGGTTTGTTTTTACTTGGTTTTAGTTGATCCTTAACTAATCTGTACATATTATTATTATTATTATTATATATGGTTTGAATATTTATTGATTCTCTATTGTTTTTATTCTTTTAGGGGATGATACCCGGTTTTAGTCAAAGTTTTATGTCAAAAGGTAGTGAACAAGAGTCTATGGCGCGTTTAAAACGTCTTATGACCATAATGGATAGTATG